AACATTTAAATAAACTGTTACCTGCTTCTCTGTTATGCTTCATGTAGCCCTCAAATATATATTGCTAGACGTACTACTTTAATTATCTTATTGTTAGGTTTACAGACCAATGTATTTGTGTGCTTTCATCCTGATCTTCCCTACCTCTATACTTACTGATTTTAGGATGATTCGTGCTATGCTGGAATGCTAGCATTAAATTCTTTTAAAATATCCATCATTCTTGAGATCACATGGATTGTGTGAAAGTTTCCAGGTCTCCTGACCTCCCTTCATACAGGGGTGGGACATGCCTATCCTAAATTTGAGAAAGAACCAATCCATGCAGGAGGTCCTAAATTTACTGGCTCAGTATAACTCCATGCCCAAGCCATCTGAGGAGCTCAGAGTGCTAGTGCACCTATAGTCTAATCTAACCAGGGATCGCTGAACAATGTTTCAGTAAAAGAGGACAATGAGCAGAAGGCTTAACACAGGCACAAAAAGCAGAAATCCTGCCTCTATTTTTCAGAATAAAATTTGAGAATGTAAAATAAAAAGTAAGGTAAGGGAGAGCATGCATCTTCCTTACAGCGCGGTTGTGAAGACCTACAAAGCAATTCACACTCATGACTCAAAAAGCAGAGTGTGCAAAAGTTACTTTTTTGGACAACAGATGTGAGGGCAGCAGTTCAAAAATGTAACTTGCTAAAACTCTGTGAGAAAGCACATTCAGATAAAGAAAGAGCATATCATTTCAGGAAGATCTGAAAAGCTGAAAATAAGGAAAGAGGTGTGCTTAGAAAAAAAGGGTGTGAATAAGTAGCCCTGGTCACAACTACACTATTTAATGGGGGAAATGCTTCGGAAATGCCATACTAGAGCTGTACAACCCACAAGGCATGCAATGAGAGCCATGAGCTTTGAAGCTGGCAGGCAATATTCATGCTAGCATGGAGAGTTCGACTAACTTGCTTGCTCAGGACACAGCCGTCTTACTCTGGATCAGCAGCAATACATGAAGCTGCCTTATATTGAACAAGAGTCCGGTATTGTCAACACTGACACTGATCAGGTTTCAGGCAGGGCTCTTTCCAGCTACAGAATGAACTTTTGGACTTTTTGCAACTGAACCATGTGCTCTCCCACTGAGACAAAATCTCTCTCCAAGGTAGGAATCAGCCTATAGGATCAGGGTATAAAATAAATCTATCTATCTATCTATCTATCTATCTATCTATCTATCTATCGTATTCTGACTTATTTTTGTTTTAATTGACATTAATTCTGGTTTACACTAGAAGAGTGGTGGAGAAATTGTGGCCTTCAACATATGGTTGAACTTTAATTCCATCATTCCTGTCCACTGGCCATGCTGCCTAGAGCTGGTGGGTATTGTCTGGAAGGACACAGGTTCCCCTGCTTTCACTCTACTTGTCTGTTAAAGAATGTTGGGATTCATCAGGCATGGAAGTAACTTTGTATTTCAGATGTTAATATACAAGCAAGCTCATCAAGTAACAAAGCTACTTGTAAATAATTAAGTGGTAGGAAGGAATTTTAAAGCAAAATAAAATATATTTATTGATTTTGAACTAGAGCACTTTTCTAGCTGGTAAAACACGAGTGTCTAGGTTGATATTATTCATTGAACCAACCTTGGTGGGAAAAATCTTAAATTCACAAATTATTTGATACAGAATGTGGGTTTATACACGAACAAGGTAGGTAAATGAATAATGCTATTTTTTTTTACTACAGGTGTCGCAGAAGGGCATTAGTCCATAGTTTTTAGAACACTGAACGGATGTTCTTATCAGTAGAATATAAACCTTCGGCAGGAAGACAGAACATATAATGGCATTTCTGATATTGCCACTCTTCTAGATTAACTGGAAGCTGTTTCATATTGCTCTCTTTCCGTTCTGCATGGCCCCCCTGCTAAACAGAACTTCTTTTCCTCTGAGCAGTGGTTGAATAATACCATGGGATTTGTTGTTGTGATTGAAAAGGTGGCTGGGAGTTTTCACTTTGTAGAAAAACACTTTGTGTTTCTATTCCTTTAAGAATTGTTCTCCATTCTACCTATCATTCTATCTGTTCATATCTTTCCTTTCTTCCTTGCTCAAAGGAAACAAGTCTAATAAGCTACTAATTATCCTTTTAAAAAAAAAACAAAACTTTTGACTTGGCATTTAATATGGGCAAACAGTACTTCTTCATTTGTACAAAGTTGCTGGGTTTCTGCCACACCAAGAAAACTGGCTGGTGCTTACAGCCTTTTCCTTCCTGTGTTCCGTGTTCTAACCACAGGAATCACTGTTGAGTGACATGCAACACTCCTTTTCCTGTTCATCTTCTGTCCTGCATTGCGTACGATACCAGTTCTGTGAGCAGGAAAGTAGTTCTGGGACTCCCTCCCAGGTTGCTTTCCAGAGCAGGGAAATCTAGGCCAGAAAACCACTTCAGTGGGAGTTCAGCCAGAATCCATGTTTCACCACACCCTCCTGGAGGTGGATGCAGTTTACTGCACAGATATTTACAACAGTACTGTTTTGTACTGGTCCCTACAATGAAATCTTGTCCTCTTCCAGCTTACTGCTCTTAGGAGAGGAAATCTTCAATAATCTAAAGCGGTGCATACTTCTCTTTTCCTTCCTCCACTAGACCAGCTTCCATTTGTGGTGCTTTAAAAAGACTGGGCAGATAATGTGCCTCATATATTGCTCCCAGCCCCCAGAAAAGCTTAAAATCCAAAAACAAGACAAATGTTTATAAAACTCTCAATTTCTGGAGCCAATCTGTTTCTGTTTAACTACTATATTCTGTTACTCACATGGGTTACACTGTTTTATGGATAATCACAGTTATGGATAAACACACAGTATTTACTCTCACTGCTTGCTGTCTATTCCATTTTTAATGAAAGAAAACACAGTAATTATGGAAAAATCTACATTCATAGAATAAAAAAAGAAAACCTTGTTTTTACACAGAATATATCCAAAAATGTTCAAAATTTGCAAGCAGGCCAACTCTAAAATTGGAGGACGATTGCAGCCATCCTGTTGCTTTTGTTGTAAGGGTTTGGCCAACTCTGCCAGAAAAAAGACTGGTTACAACCATCTCTAAAATATAGATATATATATTTTTAGCACTTAGGAGCAATAGATAATCACAAACATCAACAAGTGATATCAATGTATTAAAGCATGTTCTGCCATCGCCATACCAAAAAATGAGGAAAATATCCTTATAGGTCACCCCCCCTTCACTACCAGTCTTTTGCTGAATTGTGGCTCATACTGCCAAATGCACCCACACATTTAGATACCTTGTACTTTGTTGTGGAAGGAAGCATTCACCAATCATTTGTTCTACTACAAAAGCAATCCTTGGAAAAGCCCAGGTGAAAACCATCCATGTTCTTACTTCATCAATAGCTAGGACTGCACATCCAGTGACTGCAGTGAAATACCAGATATATTCAATAGCAAAGAACGTAGTGTCCCCTCCCCCCCCCCAGTGGATTGGCTTTTGAACTGGGAATAACTCATCACCACCTTGGAAACATCAGTTTATGTTTATGTTAAACACTTGACACTGGTTTCTAAACTGACACGTTAGGCATAATTCAGATAACTCAAAGATTTTTGCTGTATTACTGAGAACTAGCTGAATCCAGGGCTGTTGAGCACAGCACATTTTGAAGATTGTTCATTCATAGGGTCATCACAAGTTGGAGGTGACTTGACAGTATACACTATAACAATAACTGAACCCAGAAAGTCCTCGGAAAATTTCTGTTGATGCTAACCACTAGCAGTTACATTCTATTCATATGTACATTTTCTATGCAAAAAAGAGGGGCAACTTTCCTAAAGCAGAGATTTCATGGCCTTTTGCCTTTTATTTTGCCATGCTTTAGGGTGTATGCTTTGTTCCCCAACTAATTTTACATTCCAACACACTTAGCCATTATGAGCACTCATGGGTTTCTTCACAAAAATTTGGAAAAGACGTCACCAACCTGCGACACCCTTCAAAACCTGGCCACGCCCAGTGACTTTTATGGGACCAAAACATGCTAGAAAAGCTGAACCAATACCGTTCCAACTTGAGGAAGTGGCCACATTTTAAAATGTGTAGTTAGTGCACAGTCCACTGTACTAGCACCTATCCATAAATGCCAAGCACAGTGCTGTTTAACTTTACATAAAATCTACAAGGAGACCTTTGGCCTGATATAACACTATCCTGGCAAAAGCTACCATGAATTTATATGACTACTGTACATGGAAATCTCAGAAAGCTCAGTGCCTGTACAATCTTAAGCATCCAGGCAAGTTGCGAATCCCCTCCCTCCCTCACATTCCTTTCAATGGCAAATAAGCATTTCTGGACTAAACAGCTCCTCTACTGGTCTGACATTCTCAGTGTAAGTACACTTCAGCAATATCCAGAAGCGAGGGAGGGAGGGAGGGAAGGAAGGAGGGAGGGGGGAAATGCAAGCTTCAGTAGCATGACAAGCAAGTGAACCACCCTTTGCTCTCTCTCATCCACCCACAGTCTTGACGTGCCATTTCCATTAACACCCTGTACCCTCAAGAAAATCCAGCCTCCTCTCGAGAATGCTGAGAGGAGACGATGGAGAAGGCGCTGCTGCTGCCATCGAAGCTAGCCAGGGAAGAAGAGAAGGGCTAAAATAATCACACAGCATCTTTCCGAGGGGGTCAAATGAGGACAGCCGACATACTTAAAAAAAAAAAGGGAAGGGAAGCAGGCAAGGCAGCAGCAGCAGCAATAGCGGGCGCGCAAAGCGCCGCTTTCCCCTTTATATAACGGGGATATTTTGCCTCAGTAAACAGGTTGGGCTTCCCTCAGAGCTGCAAGGTCCCCGCCTGCCCATGGGAGCCCCCCCTCCCCCCAAGCGCAAAGGGGGGGCGCACCTCCCCGCCCCCTCCTCCCCACCGCGCGGCTCAGCCCGGGGGGGGCAGGCAGAGAAAGAGCCCAGGGCTCACCTGTGTGCACTCGGTAGTGGGCTTTCAGGTGGGACGACTTCCCGTAGACTTTGCCACAGCCACTGTAGGGGCACTTGTGTCTTTTTTCCGTGGCCAGCTTCCCTTTGGCAGGCCCTCCGCCGTGCAGCAGGGCGAGGGGGTCGGCCACGCCGCCCGCCTCGGCTCCTTCGGCCGCCGGGCTGTGGGAAGGGCTCGACCCAGATTCGGTGGTCACGTCGCTGTCGGAGCCCGCGTCCTCGTCGGGGCTTTCCACGCTGTCACTGCAGATGGACGGGGTCGGGAGAGGTCGGTATTTGTTCAGGTCCAGCAAGCTTTTGGCAATCGTCACCAAAGTGCAATAATCCTTCCAGGCGTCCCTGGGGTCGAAAAGGGACTTGGTCACGACGGCGGCGGCGGCGGCGGCAGCGGCGTCCTCTTCCTCTTCCTCGGGCATCTTCAGGAGCTCCGCTTCCCGGGCCACGTCTTGCTGTGCCACGGAGCGGTTGGAGATGGACACCAAGCACTGGGCAGCCACGAAGTCCATGTAAGCCACTGCTGACATCCTGCGGGCGAGGATCAGCCACCCTCGGTTGCTTCCTCCCCCCACGAGGAAAAATGAATGGCCAGGAAGGGAGAAGAGGAGGAAGTGTGGAATCCGATGGCTAAAATTGTCTCTTGTATTCCTTTAAACTGCTTAAGTGGCTTAGAAGAAATGGAAAAGATAAAGTGACATGGGTAAACCACAACCCTTAGAGGAAAGTACAGTAGAATGTTTTACATTAATGTACTGCCTTTGGATCAAGGGTGGGCAAAGTGCAGTATCCCGGACTGCAATTTCCATTAGCCCCAGTCCAACATAGCCAGTGGTGAGGAGATCACAGTATCAACAATCCTTAGAGGGCTTAACTGTGTTCTGATTCAAATGTTCACACTCAAGCCCTGCTAAATCAAGAGTGGCTATTGTACAGTTTGCAGGAAGTAATTAAGAAAGCCTTTTTGCCTTACGACAGGAGTCAACATCGGAAAGGGAATCTCTGTCAAACATAAGCTATATCCAGAGAGAGGTTTCCTAGCTCTATGTGACAAGGTGGCTGGCAGCCAGAGCAAGGGTCATCCAAAGTGTATTCCACAGACTCCATGAGACCCAGCCTGCAGAAGGAGAAGTTAGGGACTTTGCCACCCCAGAGTTGGTGAGAATGGCTCTGCCAGTAGGAGACTGACCTGTCAAAAGAGACAGTCTTGGCGATAAGCATCTGCACCAAAGCAGGAAGAGGGAGGAGAAATGGGAACACCTGGGGCAGATAGGATTATAAAGGGTAAGGAGGAGAAAACCAAGGATTGGAATGGGGTGCGAGCAAGAGTGAGGAAGGTGCTGAGGAGGCATGGAATGACAGGCCAGAGCCTGCAGATGACCCCCTTTATCCTGGTCATGCCCTCCTCCTTTTGTTACATGCCTGATAACCTGGCTCCAGCTCTAGCAACTAAAGTGGAAGCCCAGCCTGCAACCAAGGAACAAACCATCAAGGACCAAGTGTTGAAACTAGGTGGGCTCACTGTCACCACCCATGCTGATCAAACTTTGTCACTGGCAGAGGCTGTGAGAGTTTAAATGGCTGAGGCAGCTGGAGCAAAACCAGCAGGGGCAGAAAGAGCCAGCATCTAGTTGCAGGGGCCAGGGAACCAGGCTAACCTGAACTACGTCCAATTAGGACTTCACCTCCAAGTGAAGAGACTGGGAACTCAGGTGAAAGGCAAGAAACTGAAGGAAGCTAACTTGCCAGGACTGGAAGGATTGGGGAGTCTCTTCGGGGACTTGGGCTCAAGGCCAGACAGCCTGTGTATATAGTTCTATGATAAGACTGTGGTTGCTGCTGTGTTCTGATGACCACGCTGAGGAGGCTCTTCAACCTCTCCCTTTACTGAAGGACAGCATAGGGGTACACACACTCTACTAAGGAAGAATCACTGGCTACTAATCCTGTCTTTCCTCCTTGACATATTTTCTGTGGAAAGAAAAGATTCCAAGAAGTGATGGAGAAATATGTTGGGGTTATAGGCAGAAGAAGATGGGATTGTTTGAATCAGATAAATTTCAAGAT